ATGTTTTTTTGAGTTTGTACATATTTGCGATTTATATGAATTATATAAAAATAATAATCTTAAAATTGTGAAAGCATTTGGCACTATGTTTAAAACTTTAAAAACCTTAAAATTAAATTAAAAAATTCTTTAAAATTAATTAGTAAATTCATTAAAAAGAAACATGGTAATCTTTTTTAAAAAAATAAATATTAATTTATTATAAATTAATTATAATATTAAAAAGAGAACATTTAGAAAATTAAAATAACCAAAACTCTAACATTTAGAAAAATTACATAAGAAAAATATGGACATCTCAAATTGATGATATATATATATATATATATATGCGATTAGAATATTGATTGGCATGTATGCTTAGCATGTGAGAACAAAAAAATTGAATAATGAAGTCAAAGAAAAAGAAAAGGGTGTATCAACCTTTATTTTGCTGAGAATTGAAAGAAAAAATGAATTTAAACCTAAATTGGATAAAGCTAAAATCTAAAAATCTCTATTGATACACTTAATACACCTAATTTTAGTTGATTTCTTTTGGATTTTTGAAGAAGATGAATTTAGTTTATATATATATATACATATATGTATATACATGTATATTTAAATTCAGCCAATTATGAAACTTTTAGATGTATTTACGTTATAACATTGCAACATTTATAACATTATAGTTCAATATTTATAAAAAATATCTAAATCATTTGTACTTATATTATGTATTCTTGATAGTTTTCTGCGGGTTTTTTTTATAAAAAATTTCTGCATAATTTATTCTCTCTTTGTTCTCATGGTCTGATTTGATCAATTCCTGTTAATTTTTTAGATAATTTAAAAATGTGACACTAGTGTAAAAGTAATATTATAATTATACACATTAAGAATTATATGAAAATGTATTGTAGGGATTAGAATTGAAGCAAAAAAGAAAGCCTGAGAATGTACTTGCTTATATATTCATAGCTTTGAAACAAAAAGGAAGAAGTCTATAAGAAAACAAATAATGCACTAAAAGAAAATTAATTTTTATTTTGGCTAGAATTATTTGGAAAAATAAATTTAAACTTCAATCACATAGCTAAAGTATATTCTCTTTGCCATAATAAAATAAAATAAAACCATAAATCTCCACTATATTAATGACTTAGGAGAACTAAAAATTGGTTAATTTCTGTTGAATTTAAAAAAAAAAAAAAAAGAAACTCATTTAGGAGATGCTGCGAATGCCTTTGGAGTGTCGCAAAAGTTCTGAATCAGTTGTGGAGCATAAGGGGCTAAGGGGAAAAAAACTGACCAACAACTCTTGCTGATATTTAGAATTGCATTACAACAAGAAGAGGAAGGGGTAAGACCTCCAATTGGAAAAGTGAAAAGTGACAGCAAGCATCCTTCAATACCATTAAAGGACGCCAAACACTGATTAATTTGAGAAGTTCCTGGAAGTCCAGGAATTCCTGGAAATCCAGGTAATAGCTGGGTGTGACTTGGTTGCACCAACATTGCAATCCAAGTGGCCAGAAGCAGTAATTGAATGGTTTGTTGAGCTTTGCCTGACATGTTTGATTGGTAAATTTTTTTGTCTTTTCGTATTACTAGGAGTTAATTGATCAAGAGCAGTTTATTGCAATGAAAAATTGAAACGAATAGAGCGACTATTTATGCTATAGTAGAAATGTGAGTAATTAAGCTTGTTTAATACTATTTTTAATACTATTTATAATATTAACTCAGTCGTTACTAAATCGTTAATTTTGGAGTGAATTCTAACTGTTGATTTACTTAAACGTTTATCGAAACTGATGATTTATGTTAGGTTCCTAGAGAATAATTCACTCTTGTTTATAGAAGCTCCAATTAATGGACAAAATTTTGTATAGTAAGTCTACCATGATATCTTTTTTTCCTAATTAGACGAATGTGCATTAAACAAAGACCGAGTCTTCTTACTAATTTAAAGAATTAAAGCTTCATTACAAAAAAATAAATTCTCACGTTGCTTTTTGATCAAGCATATTCTTTGTTTACTAATACTTCATCAAATCAGATCGACACTACAAAAAGAATTTGCATTACTCATTGAAAATAAAAAATTCCTACTAGGATGATTTAGAGGTTTTTAATTCACTAAGAGAATAATTACTCCTTAAAAATTAAATACAGAGTTTGTTAGAATTGGATGTCTATCCCTTTTAGAACTTCGAGTTTATCAAATTGAATATCTATCCTTTTTAGACTCTTAGACTTTGTATATTTTTTGTGTTCCTTCATTAACTTAAATAGAACAGAACGCCAATCATAACTAATCTTAAGAAATAAATAATCACCAAACCACATATAAGAATGATTCTAATTGCATTTATAGAAATGGTAGTTCTAATATCATCTCTTTGGGGAAGGTCTAGTAGTTTTCTTATAATTATAAATAACGATGTAACTTTAGCTTATACAGTTTTGAATATAATTTTGGGTCATGTCTTATCTATATAATTTTTTTTGGGTTAGTTTCTTAGTGGGGCTCTTTTTGGTTAACGTCTCCGTAATATATTTTTTCTTTGTTCTTAGGACATTAAGGGATTAACCGTAAAATTTCATTACACTTTTAGTGAATTTAATAGCCAACATCACATTAGTGATTAACCATAAAATTCCCCTTAAAAATTAATTCATTGTTGGCACCAACAAAAGGAGTTGGTTAAGACTAATGTGCACATGTCAATGCTTGAGAATCATAGCTTAGAAGCGAAAAGGAAATTAACTAAAAGAAAACTATTTGATTTTCTAATTGATTTATAATGAATTGCAAAAATAGATTTATACCTCAGTAACCCAACCAAGTATTTCCTTCTTACTTGAATAAAACATTAAATCTCCACTAACTTACTAACTTATGAGCACTAGAATTTGGTTGATTTCCTTTTGCATTTGAAGAAACGGAAATTATTTAGCATGAGGTGAAGATGACTTTTAAATGTTGCAGAAGTTCTCGATCATAGGTGGAGTATAAGGGGTTAAGGGGAAAAAAAGAGACCAACAAATCTTATTGATATTTACAAATGTGTTGCATCAGGAAGAGGAAGGGTTAAGACCACCAATTGGAAAAGTAAAAAGTGATGACATGCACCCTTGAATGCCACTCAAAGATGCTAAACACTGATTAATTTGTGAAGTTATTGGAAGTCCTGAAATTTTCAGAAATCTTGGTAGCAACTGGGCGTGTCCTGGTTAGACCAATATCGCAACCCACGTGACCAAAAGCAATAGTGGACCAGCTTGTTGAGTTTTGCTAGACATATTTGATTAGTAGATTTTTTACTTTTTGTTAGTACTAGAGTTGATTGATAAAAAAGAGCAGCTTACAAGGATGAACGGTTGAAATGAAGAGAATGAGTATTTATTTTATAACAGAAATGAAACTTATTGAGATTCTTAATTACCATTTTTAAATTACAACATTAATTTAATGGTTATTAAGTTATTAATTTTGGATCAAATTCTAACGGTAGATTTACTTGAACATTAGTTATAGAATATGATCATTTATATTTATCTACAGGGATTTTGTCGTCTCTTAGTCTACCCAAAAAATATATTTTTTTTTAAAAAAGAATTTATCCAAGCTCTAACTAAGGGAAAAAATTATATATACTAAATCTATCATGATAACATTTTTTCTGATTAAATGTATCACTCTCATTGTCTACGGATTACTGTCTTAAAGCTACAATAAGAAGTTTTTCTACACCCGTATAACAATAATAAAATAATAATATTCTCCTAGGCCAATCTCGTATGGAGATATAAAATATAATATTATGTGGATTTTAAACTTTCTCTTAATACATATTTATAGAACTTATTAAAATTGAGAACAAATTCATGTTGTTAAGTTTGTTCTTTGCATTCTAATACTTAATCAAACTCTGTCAAAACACTAAAACAAAAATTGCATTTTTTTTTAATTGAAAATGAGGAAATCTTTAGAATCTGATGTTATGTTTTTGCGTGTATATATAGGAGGTATATACTAACTATACACTTTGTTGAATAAATAACTAAATAAATGTTATTACATTTTGCATACATAGTATTGTATATCTCGGTGAATGTGTTTCTCAATAAGATTTTCAATGATATATTTAAATACGAAATAAGTAATTCTTCCTAACCATATAACCTTTGATTTCATTGAGATATTGTATATGTCCTTCTGTAAAGTATTTAAAGAGGTATAAGAAAAATATCTAATTACGTTTATACAGAAATAATAGTTCTCACGAATCTCTTTGATGATTTTGAATGGTCAGAAAAATATTTAATATTTTGAAAATTTTGAATGTTGTGAATATCGTATCAAAAATACTTTATCTCTTTGATATGAATTATTAGTACCTTTAATATTATTTAATCATATGATAATTATATATTTCAAGACTAATATGAAATTCAATTGTAAGATTTACTGGGATTATAACAAGCCGTTGGATCTATTAGGAGCAAATTCTATTAATACTGATCTATTGATGATGGTTGATAATATATTTAACTATATATGTTTTGAGAAGCAAAAATAACTATATATATAGATACGTTGAAAAGAAAAAAGAAAAACAAATGTAAGAAAATAGAAAATGAACTAAATTAATGTTTTTCAATTTTTATTTATGATAGAATTACTTGCATTAAACAAAACTATTTAAGCTCAATTCAACAAACTAAACATTTCTTTATCAGAAGAAAATACAATAAAATCTTAAATCTCCAATGAATTACTTAATTTAGGGTACTTAGAAATTGGTTGATTTTCCATGGGGCTTGAAAAAGCTGAACTCATTCAAGAGGTGGTGGAGATGCTTTTTGAGTGTTGCAAAAGTTCTGAATAAGTTGTGGAGTATTTGGGACTAAGGGGAAAATAAATGACCAACAATTTTCGTTGATATTTAAAAATGCATTGCAGCATGAAGAGGAAGGGGTGAGACCACTAATTGGGTAAGTGAAAAGCGATGGCAGACATCGCTGAATGCTATTTAGTGACGCAAAACACCGGTTAATCTGAGCAAATTCTGGAGTTCCTGGAACTCCTGGAATCCTTGAAAATCTAGGCAATCCTGAAATTCCTGGAAGTCTTGGAATTCCTAGAACTCCTGAAAATCTAGGCAATCCTGGAAGTCCTGGAGTTTCCGGAATTCCAGGAATTCGCGGAAGTCTCGGAATTCCAGGAAGTCCTGGAGTTCCCGGAAGTTCCGGAATTCCAGATAGTCCCGGAGTTCCCGGAAGTCCCGGAATTCCTGGAATTCCCGGTAGTCCCGGAGTTCCCGGAAGTCCCGGAATTCCTGGAATTCCCGGTAGTCCCAGAGTTCTCGGTAGTCCCGGAATTCCGGGAACTCCCGGACCCGGAATTCCTGGAATTCCCGGTAGTCCCAGAGTTCTCGGTAGTCCCGGAATTCCCGAAAGTCCTGGAGTTCCCGGAAGTCCCGGAATTCCTGGAATCCCTGGAAGTCCCGGAGTTCCGGGAAGTCCAGAAATTTTAGGAATTCCCGGAAGTCCTGGTGTTCCCGGAATTCCAGGTAATCCTGGAAATCTAGGCAATCCTGGTATTAGTTGAGAGTAGGTTAATGGCATCAACGTTGTAATCCATGTAACTATAAACAATACTATAATGCTTTGTTGAGCCTTGCTTGACATGCTTGATTGGAGTTATGTTCCGACGGAAAAAGAATTGGTTGATGAAGAGAAGGCTAATGGGATGAATGGTTGAAACAAAGAGAGTTGGTGTTTATATAATAGTGATTTTAGGTTTTCAATTAGTATTTTTATTAATAAAACCCCTCAAACCATAAATTTTCTTTACTGTTATCTTTTAATTAAACCATTAGGTAAGTGGTTACTAATTAAGCCATTAATTTTGGATTTAAATTTTAACATTTTATTATATATATTTAAATACTATAAAAATTATTAAAAATGACTTAAATTATTGTGGATAATTACTCATGGTGTTTAAAATTAGAAAGTATAATAAATTTGAATTTTAAAATATGTTTTTAATAATATATTTTTTTAAAAAAAAAATAATGCATTAATTAATTAAGTAGTGCAAATATCACATTGGGTAATGTCTCCCGAACATGGAAATGATGAACAGAGCTTGACAGTCGGCCGAGTTCGTGGGCTATAACATTACAATCATGCCGGCCCAACTGATATTTATATCCGGTCTCGAAGTTAGCATTTCACAGCAATCAGTAAGAATAAAATTATATTCCGAGTTATCATTCTCATTGCGGGATAAAATTTTATACACCTTCTGAGCGTCGACTTCAACAATGCCCACACCTTGGACTTGGTGAAGTAAATACTAAATTGCATTCCTACAGCCCAATAATTTGGCTACGAACGGCGATGTGCAGTTCCTCAAGACAACAGTAAATGCAACTAGTGCCTCACCCTCAGAATTACGAATAATTCCCCTATACTAGAATCCTACGTAAAAACATCAACATTACGTTTCCAGTAGCCCGCATCAGGGGCTTGCCACGGGGGTGTAGTTTCCGGGCTCCTTATCTGGCTCTCTAGGCCACTCTTATGAATTGAGCGTGCTTGCTACCAAGCGCGGAGGAATTTGTGGATCAATTGAACCGTTGTTGGGGCCATCTACAACTTCTCCGACCACATCACTTCATTCTTTTCCAGCCATATACGCCATAGCCCACAGAATATCTCCTCAATCTCCTTCTTAGTGCGGGAGCTAACCAGCTGTGTCACCTAACTCTGCGTATCCATGGAATGACCTTCGGGGACCCGAATTCCTAGGTGCGCCCAACATCTTCGTGCCCTTTCACGGTAAAAAAAAAAACATGATGTGCCGACTCTGCACTGCCCCACTGAGCACATGTTGTGTCTACATCTATGCCTTTCTCTTTCAATTGTGATTTCACCGGAAGGTTACAATTAAGAAGCCTCCACATAACGTTTTTTCACTTTCGCCTGGATGACCGCACTCCACGCTAACTTCCAGATATTTGGTCCGTCCGCATCATTCTTTGCACATACCTCATGCTGGCAACTGTATGACGACTGCACTGTATAATTGCCATCCAGCACATATTCGGTCACCCATCACGCTTCGAGCCCCACAAAAAGTTGTTCATCATTTTCTAGAGTTCATCGCACGGTCCAACAGGAAGCTTAAGAGCCCCATACAGAAAGTTGGGAGTGATTGTGCAACTGATTTCAGTAGTACTTCCTTCTATGCTTTCGATAATATTTATGCTTCCATCCCTAAGTTTCTTCCTAAGCATGTCCTTAATAAACCCAAAGATGCTTCTTTTGTTCCGCCCAATTAAAGATGGCAGCCTAAGTACTATCCATGATCAATCTTAACACGCACACCTAAGATATCATTCCGACTACTCCGCCGAGAGTCCAGAGCTTTTGTGCTATAAAACGTTCCCGACTTCTGGAAGTTCACTGCCTATCCCGATGCAGCTTTGTATTGGTTCAGTATGTCCACCCTCTGGCACTTCTCAACTGTTGCTCTGAACAAGAAGAATGAATCATCTGCAAACAATAGATGAGAGATACTCGAACTGCGTGAACAGACCCTAATGCCATAAAGCCCGCCACTGCCTTCCACCTCTCTGAACATTGCCAACAAGCCCTCAGCACATATAATAAACAAGTAGGGTGACAGTGGATCACCTTGTCGCAGCGCTCTCGATGGCATTATCGGACCAACCCCGTACCATTAAGTTTCACCTGGTATACGACGGAAGAAACACACTGCATAACCAAGCCGGCCCGTCTGCTGTGGAACCCAAGTTCCATCATAATGGCTTCCAGGAACTCTCATCTCACCTTGTCATATGCGTTGCTTATATCAATCTTCATTGCCACTTGATTTTTTTCCCCTGCAATTCAGTTTTATTTTACGAATAATTTCGAAAGCAAGAATTACGTTGTCTGTCACATACCTGCCGGGCACGAAAGCAGACTAGGACTCAGTGATCAGAGTTGAAAGGACCTCTCCCTCAGCCTGTTAGCAAGCACTTTGGAGATGATCTTGTACCCCATATTGCAGGGGGATATCGGCCGAAAATCCTTCAAGGTCTCCGGGCTCTCGTTCTTTGGATTAGAACAATGTGCGTGGAATTTAGTTATGCGGGAACCTCACCAGCCTCAAACCAGGCTTGGCAACACGAAACAACATCAAGGCCAATAATTTCCTAGAACCGTTGATAAAATGCAGGGTTCATACCATCGGGGCCGGGTGATTTATCTGGGTGCATATGGAAAATAGCCTGCTTAATCTCCTCCTCTCTCGGTGTTTACAGAAGGGCCTCATTTTCTTCACTCGATACCCCCTGGGTGATGCATTCTAGTACCGGCTCATGTGCCCCCTCTTAGGACGAAAATAATTCTGAAAAGTACTGGACAATGTGCTCTTCCAGCCCCTCTTTTTCCTTGACCCGTTCATCTTTCGAATTATGTAAGCATGTTATATGGTTACGTCGCTTATAGTATGTAGCCTGGTGATGGAAGTAACGGGAATTCATGTCTCTATGCCGTAACCAAAAGGATTTTGCCCACTGCTTCTAAAATACTTCTTCTTATTCAAGCAGGCAGATGCACTCTATATTCAACTGTTCCGGTCTTTCATTATCCTTGTGCCCTTGTGCCTTTCTTACTCTCTGAATTGCCCGTAGAGGATTTGCTTCTGGCGTTTGAAGTTAGTCACACCAGTGCTGCCCCACTTCTGCAGTTCTTTCCCACAAATTTTCAGTCTTCTGTATGCTACTCCCCCTCCCCTGGCTCCCCCATTGGGTTTGGATTACATTTTCTAACTCCGTGTTTAACAACCAAGCATTCTTAAATCCAAAGTCTCTGTTCGATGTCTCCCTAGACCAACGTTCGCAAAGAAGAAGCAATGGAGAGGGATCGAAGGCAGGCGTAACGTGGTTTTCTAGTCGGGCATATGGGAACTGGTTGCACCATCGTTCGTGTACTACGTACCTGTCAAGCTTCTCACATATTCTTGAACTCGCTGTGCCCCTTGACGACGTCTACTGTGAGCAGTAGGTCCGTCAACTGACATGCTTCCAGTGTGTCTCCGAGCCCAGCTATCTGCGATTGCGAAGGTGGCGCACCCCCACACTTTTCCTCCTCACTAGCCAGGTCTTTAAAGTCTCTAATTACAACCCAAGAACCACTCATCCCCCCGCCAGTGTTCGGAGCAGTTGCCACAACTCCCTACATCTGTGTCGTCGTGGGTGGCCATAATATCTGTTTTGAGACGCCTGACCAGGAAGTCCCCAAACTGTTTTGCCATTGCCTCCGATCTACACCCGGCCGGGAGTGAATGGATTTGCACCCAGAACAGGCATGTATTAATATCCATCTTCTCTGGTTCGTCACCCCATGCAGCCTGTGTGTGATAAGAAGATTATTGTTAAACATCCATGGGCCTCCACTGATGACTCTTTGTATGTCCACTTCATAAAAGAATCGGAAGAGACACCGCCCGCTGTTCAAATCTGAGATACTTACCCCACCCAGCGGTTTCAAAACATCTGCTAACGTATTTCTCATCGGATCAACGTCCTCAATGAACCTTGCCAAACGGCTGACAAAACCTACCTATGCCAATAAGCAGAATCTTATCCTATTAATAATATCTTTTTTGAACTTACATATATTTGACATTTATATGAATTATATAAAAAAATAATCTTAAAATTGTGAAAAAATTTGGCACTACGTTTAGAACTTTAAAGAACTTAAAATTAAATTACAAAATTCTTTTAAATTGATTTTCATTTAAGTAAATTCGTAAAAAAAAAAATATGGTAATCTTTTTTAAGAAGTAAACTTTAATTTGTTATAAATCAATTATAATATTGAAAAGAGAATAGTCAGTAAGACTGTAACTTATATCTCATGATAATAAAAATTTTAAAAAATATATAAATTTCTTATTCAAATACTCGTTTAAGGAATTTTTTTCTTTAAATTAACATAATGACTTGTTATTACGCAACAAAATTAAAATAATTAAAACTCTAACATTTAGAAAAACGACATAAGAAAAATATGGACAGCATCTCAAATTGATGATATATATGTGTGTGTATATTTAAACTCAGCCAATTAGTTAACTTTTAGATATATCTACATTGCAACATTTATAACATTAAAGTTCAGTATTTAAATAAAATGTCTAAACCATTTTTATTTATATTCTGTATTCTTGCTAGTTTTCTGTGGATTTTTTTTCTTTTCTGAATTTTTGCGTGATTTATTCTCTCTTTGTTCTCGTGGCCAGATTTGGTCGATTCCTATTAATTCCTTAGCTAAGTTAAGAATGTGGCATGAGTGTAAAAGTAATACTATAATTATACACATTAAGAATAATATGAAAATTAATTGTAGGGATCAGAATTGAAGCAAAAATGACGCTGAGAATATACTTGCTTATATATTCACAGCTTTGAAATAAGAAGGAAGAAGTCTGTAAGAAAACAAATAATGAACTAAAAGAAAATTAGTTTTTATTTTGGCTAGAATTATTTGAAAAAATAAATTTAAACTTCAATGACACAGCTAAAGTTTATTCTCTTTGCGTGAATAAAATAAAATAAAACTATAAATTTCAACTATATTAATGACCTAGGAGAACTAGAAATTGGTTGATTTCTGTTGAATTTGAAAAAAAAAAAAAAGAACTCATTTAGGAGGTGCCGCGAATGCCTTTGGAGTGTCGCAAAAATTCTGAATCAGTTGTGGAGTATAAGGGGCTAAGGGGAAAAAGACCGACCAACAACTCTTGCTGATATTTAGAATTGCATTGCAGCAAGAAGAGGAAGGGGTAAGACCTCCAATTGGAAAAGTGAAAAGTGACAGCAAGCATCCTTCAATGCCACTAAAAGACGCCAAACACTGGTTAATTTGAGAAGTTCCTAGAAGTCCAGGAATTCCTGGAAATCCAGGTAATAGCTGGGTGTGACTTGGTTGCACCAACATTGCAATCCAAGTGGCCAGAAGCAGTAATTGAATGGTTTGTTGAGCTTTGCCTGACATGTTTGATTGGTAAATTTTTTTGTCTTTTCGTATTACTAGGAGTTAATTGATCAAGAGCAGTCTATTGCAATGAAAAATTGAAACGAATAGAGCGACTATTTATGCTATAGTAGTAATGTGAGTAACTAAGCTTCTTTAATACTATTTTTAATACTATTTATAACATTAACTCAGTTGTTACTAAATCGTTAATTTTGGAGTGAATTCTAATTGTTGATTTACTTAAATTTTATTGAAACTGATGATTTATGTTAGGTTCTTCCTAGAGAATAATTCACTCTTGTTTATAGAAGCTCCAATTAATGGACAAAATTTTGTATGGTAAGTCTACCATGATATCTTTTTTTCCTAATTAGACGAATGTGCATTAAACAAAGACCGAGTCTTCTTACTAATTTAAAGAATTAAAGCTTCATTACAACAAAATAAATTCTCACGTTGCTTTTTGATCAAGCATATTCTTTGTTTACAAATACTTCATCAAATCAGATCGACACTACAAAAAGAATTTGCATTACTCATTGAAAATAAAAAATTCCTACTAGGATGATTTAGAGGTTTTTAATTCACTAAGAGAATAATTACTCCTTAAAAATTAAATACAGAGTTTGTTAGAATTGGATGTCTATCCCTTTTAGAACTTCGAGTTTATCAAATTGAATATCTATCCTTTTTAGACTCTTAGACTTTGTATATTTTTTTGTGTTCCTTCATTAATTTAAATAGAACAGAACGCCAATCATAACTAATCTTAAGAAATAAATAATCACCAAACCACATATAAGAATGATTCTAATTGCATATTTATAGAAATGGTAGTTCTAATATCATCTCTTTGGGGAAGGTCTAGTAGTTTTCTTATAATTATAAATAACGATGTAACTTTAGCTTAAACAGTTTTGAATATAATTTTGGGTCATGTCTTATCTATATAATTTTTTTTTTGGTTAGTTTCTTAGTGGGGCTCTTTTTGGTTAACGTCTCCGTAATATATTTTTTCTTTGTTCTTAGGACATTAAGCGATTAACCGTAAAATTTTATTACACTTTTTAGTGAATTTAATAGCCAACATCACATTAGTGATTAACCATAAAATTCCCCTTAAAAATTAATTCAATGTTGGCACCAACAAAAGGAGTTGGTTAAGACTAATGTGCACATGTCAATGCTTGAGAATCATAGCTTAGAAGCGAAAAGGAAATTAACTAAAAGAAAATTATTTGATTTTCTAATTAATTTATAATGAATTGCAAAAATAGATTTATACCTCAGTAACCCAACCAAGTATTTCCTTCTTACTTGAATAAAACATTAAATCTCCACTAACTTACTAACTTATGAGCACTAGAATTTGGTTGATTTCCTTTTGCATTTGAAGAAACGGAAATTATTTAGCATGAGGTGAAGATGACTTTTAAATGTTGCAGAAGTTCTCGATCAGTGGTGGAGTATAAGGGTTAAGGGGAAAAAAAGAGACCAACAAATCTTATTGATATTTACAAATGTGTTGCAGCAGGAAGAGGAAGGGTTAAGACCACCAATTGGAAAAGTAAAAAATGATGACATGCACCCTTGAATGCCACTCAAAGATGCTAAACACTGATTAATTTGTGAAGTTATTGGAAGTCCTGAAATTTTAAGAAATCTTGGTAGCAACTGGGCGTGTCCTGGTTAGACCAATATCGCAACCCACGTGACCAAAAGCAATAGTGGACCAGCTTGTTGAGTTTTGCTAGACATATTTGATTAGTAGATTTTTTACTTTTTGTTAGTACTAGAGTTGATTGATAAAAAAGAGCAGCTTACAAGGATGAACGGTTGAAATGAAGAGAATGAGTATTTATTTTATAACAGAAATGAAATTTATTGAGATTCTTAATTACCATTTTTAAATTACAACATTAATTTAATGGTTATTAAGTTATTAATTTTGGATCAAATTCTAACGGTAGATTTACTTGAACATTAGTTATAGAATATGATAATTTATATTTATCTACAGGGATTTTGTCGTCTCTTAGTCTACCCAAAAAATATTTTTTTTTAAAAAAAAAAGAATTTATCCAAGCTCTAACTAAGGGAAAAAATTATATATACTAAATCTATCATGATAACATTTTTTCTGATTAAATGTATCACTCTCATTGTCTACGGATTACTGTCTTAAAACTACAATAAGAAGTTTTTCTACAAACGTATAACAATAATAAAATAATAATTTTTTCTAGGCCAATCTCGTATGGGGATATAAAATATAATATTATGTGGATTTTAAACTTTCTCTTAATACATATTTATAGAACTTATTAAAACTGAGAACAAATTCATGTTGTTAAGTTTGTTCCTTGCATTCTAATACTTAATCAAACTCTGTCAAAACACTAAAACAAAAATTGCATTTTTTTTTAATTGAAAATGAGGAAATCTTTAGAATATGATGTTATGTTTGTGCGTGTATATATAGGAGGTATATACTAACTATACACTTTGTTGAATAAATAACTAAATAAATTTATTACATTTTGCATACATAGTATTGTATATCTCGGTGAATGTGTTTCTCAATAAGATTTTCAATGATATATTTAAATACGAAATAAGTAATTCTTCCTAACCATATAACCTTTGATTTCATTGAGATATTGTATATGTCCTTCTGTAAAGTATTTAAAGAGGTATAAGAAAAATATCTAATTACGTTTATACAGAAATAATAGTTCTCACGAATCTCTTTGATGATTTTGAATGGTCAGAAAAATATTTAATATTTTGAAAATTTTGAATGTTGTGAATATCGTATCAAAAATACTTTATCTCTTTGATATGAATTATTAGTACCTTTAATATTATTTAATCATATGATAATTATATATTTCAAGACTAATATGAAATTCAATTGTAAGATTTACTGGGATTATAACAAGCCGTTGGATCTATTAGGAGCAAATTCTATTAATACTGATCTATTGATGATGGTTGATAATATATTTAACTATATATGTGTTGAGAAGCAAAAATAACTATATATATAGATACGTTGAAAAGAAAAAAGAAAAACAAATGTAAGAAAATAGAAAATGAACTAAATTAATGTTTTTCAATTTTTATTTATGATAGAATTACTTGCATTAAACAAAACTATTTAAGCTCAATTCAACAAACTAAACATTTCTTTATCAGAAGAAACTACAATAAAATCTTAAATCTCCAACGAATTACTTAATTTAGGGTACTTAGAAATTGGTTGATTTTCCATGGGGCTTGAAAAAGCTGAACTCATTCAAGAGGTGGTGGAGATGCTTTTTGAGTGCTGCAAAAGTTCTGAATCAGTTTTGGAGTATTTGGGACTAAGGGGAAAATAAATGACCAACAATTTTCGTTGATATTTAAAAATGCATTGCAGCATGAAGAGGAAGGGGTGAGACCACTAATTGGGTAAGTGAAAAGCGATGGCAGACATCGCTGAATGCTATTTAGTGATGCAAAACACTGGTTAATCTGAGCAAATTCTGGAGTTCCTGAAACTCCTGGAATCCTTGGAAATCTAGGCAATCCTGAAATTCCTGGAAGTCTTGGAATTCCTGGAACTCCTGAAAATCTAGGCAATCCTGGAGTTCCTGGAGTTTCCGGAAATTCAGGAATTCGCGGAAGTCCCGGAATTCCATGAAGTCCTGGAGTTCCCGGAAGTCCCGGAATTTCAGGAATTCCCGGAAGTCTTGGAGTTCCCGGAAGTCCCGGAATTCCTGGAATTCCCGGAAGTCCCGGAGTTCCCGGAAGTCCCGGAATTCCTGGAATTCCCGGTAGTCCCGGAGTTCCCGAAAGTCCCGAAATTCCCGGAATTCCCGGTAGTCCCGGAGTTCCCGGTAGTCCCAGAATTTCGAGAATTCCCGGAAGTCCCGGAGTTCCCAGAAGTCCCGGAATTCCCGGAAGTCCCGGAATTCCTGGAATCCCCGGAAGTACCGGAGTTCCGGGAAGTCTAGGAATTTTAGGAATTCCCGGAAGTCCTGGTGTTCCCGGAATTCCAGGTAATCCTGGAAATCTAGGCAATCCTGGTATTAGTTGAGAGTAGGTTAATGGCATCAACGTTGTAATCCATGTAACTATAAACAATACTATAATGCTTTGTTGAGCCTTGCTTGACATGCTTGATTGGAGTTATGTTCCGACGGAAAAAGAATTGGTTGATTAAGAGAAGGCTAATGGAATGAATGGTTGAAACAAAGAGAGTTGGTGTTTATATAATAGTGATTTTAGGTTTCTAATTAGTATTTTTATTAGTAAAACCCCCCAAACCATAAATTTTCTTTACTGTTATCTTTTAATTAAACCATTAGGTAAGTGGTTACTAATTAAGCCATTAATTTTGGATTTAAATTTTAATATTTTATTATATATATTTAAATACTATAAAAATTATTAAAAATGACTTAAATTATTGTGGATAATTACTCATGGTGTTTAAAATTAGAAAGTATAATAAATTTGAATTTTAAAATATGTTTTTAATAATATGTTTTTTTTTTATAAAAAATAATGCGTTAATTAATTAAGTAGTGCAAATATCACATTGGGTAATGTCTCCCGAACATGGAAATGATGAACAGAGCTTGACAGTCGGCCGAGTTCGTGGGCTATAACATTACAATCATGCCTGCCCAACTGATATTTATATCCGGTCTCGAAGTTAGCATTTCACAGCAATCAGTAAGAATAAAACTATATTCCGAGTTATTCTTCTCATTGCGTGATAAAATTTTATACACCTTCTGAGCGTCGACTTCAACAATGCCCACACCTTGGACTTGGTGAAGTAAATACTGAATTTCATTCCTACAGCCCAATAATTTGGCTACGAACGGCGATGTGCAGTTCCTCAAGACAACAGTAAATGCAACTAGTGCCTCACCCTCAGAATTACGAATAATTCCCCTATATTCCCCCGCATAAGAGCTAGAATCCTACATAAAAACATCATCATTACATTTCCAGTAGCCCACATCAGGGGCTTGCCATGGGGGTGTAGTTTCCGGGCTCCTTATCTGGCTTTCTAGGCTCACTCTTATGAATTGAGCGTGCTTGCTACCAAGCGCGGAGGAATTTGTGGATCAATTGAACCGTTGTTGGGGCCATGTACAATTTCTCCGACCACATCAGTTCATTCTTTTCCAATCATATACGCCATAGCCCACATAATATCTCCTCAATCTCCATCTTAGTGCGGGAGCTAACCAGCTGTGTCACATAACTCTGCGTATCCATGGAATGACCTTCGGGGACCCGAATTCTTAGGTGCGCACAACATTTTCGTGCCCTTTCACTATCAAGAAAAACATGATGTGCCGACTCCGCACTGCCCCACTGAGCACATGTTGTGTCTACATCTATGTTTTTCTCTTTCAATTGTGATTTCTCCGGAAGGTTACAATTAAGAAGCCTCCGCATAACGTTTTTTCACTTTCGCCTGGATGACCGCATTCCACGCTAACTTCCAGATATTTGGTTCGTCTGCATCATTCTTTCCACATACCTCATGCTGGCAATTGTATGACGACTGCACTGTATAATGGCCATCCAGCACATATTGTAACGGCCCCAGAAATTTAAATGAAGATGTTTGTATTAAAAATTCTAAGTGCGGAAGCGAAATAAAAATTTTGATTAACATCCCTTACACAATAACCATAAATGTATTCAACATATGAAAGAATAAGCTAATTAAAAGAAATACTCGAAATAAAAACTATAAATAGAACTATAAAATCGTTAGGCGTCTAACTCACTGTCTTCCAGTGGAACGGGGTCGAGAACCACGTCTTCTTGATCTGAAATAGTTAAGTAAGGAATGACCTACACTAGCCCAGTAAAGACATCACACTATCTCACTACCACAGAAGTAAAGGTTGGTAGAAAACAAAAACGACCAATGGAGCATAATTTATAAGAAACTCATTTATCAATAATAAAAACCTTTACTGTCCACTTACCTCGGTGAGATTCATGAAAACAGTTTATTAAAACAATAACATTATAACCATCATAAAATCATGCACACTCTGTAACATAACACATGTTATATTTTTGTACTTCAATAATCAGACAACATTTCTCCTCTTTTATCAGCCTACTAGTATCCATGGGGATCCATAGGGGGTCCCCGCTACACGTGAACCATTAACATTAATAATCTGATTCCAGGGCCGTCCCCGTACCCCATCCAGTATGGGCGCCAAAACTATGAACCTCAATACCCCGTCCGGTATGAGGGTGAAACGGGTTGTCCCCATATCTTGTCCGGTATGAGCACCAAAACACATAAAGTCTCCATACCCCGTCCGATATGAGAGATCACATTCCTGGTAGGGTTCCCAACGGATCCGGTCCGTCCACCATCTCCCAGGATATCTAGTTAGGCTGTCTACATTATCCATTTATCAATTCACATAACCTTTTTCTCATTTTCCTTAGTCTCAATTATCAAATCAAACATAAACACGTAAACCAGTAATGAACACCAAACAAAGGCAACACAACATCAGGTTCACAATAATTCAAAGCATAATAAATGAAACTGTGATTCATGTATACGAAACCATAGAATAAACACATCAGGCACCATATTGCATTCAAAACTGCAAAATAAATCAAACAACACCTGACCGAAAATATATCAGATTCGGGCTTCATTGGCAACCTTAATCAATTATACATATCTATTAAGTCATAAAATACCGTTTTATCATTTATTAGGCTTTAATGCCGTGATAGGAAATAGGGTGAGAGATCCTTACTTGTTTCGGGGTCTGAAATCGGCTCTACAATGTGGCCTACGGGCTGTCCCTAAATTCTCTGAATTTTTTCTGAAAAACTGAAATGCACTACCGGTACCTGCACGTGTCCCAAAAAATTCCAAATCAAACCTAGGGCCCCTTTTCAGCTAATATCGGTGCTCCGGCGACGGCACCGCCGCCCGCAGCGGCGATCCGCCTCGGGTTAGCTGTTTTCGACCGAATTCAGCCAAACTTGCATTGGTTCCTGCGATAAAATAAACCTAGGGCCCTCGGTGGGCCAAAAAATCACGAAAAACTGAGACTTACCGGCGGTAGAGCTCTCGGGTGCGGAGACTTCTCCGGCGCGAGTCGCGATTTGATGTTTTGCTAGTTTTTTGATGTAGAGAAAAGGACGGTGATCATAGTGGTGTAAAAATTACATCAAACGGGAACCGAAAAGGGCTTAATCGGAGGCAAAAATCAAGGGAAGCTGAGGCGGCGCCGCTAGACTTCGGCGGTGTTTTCAGGCCGATTGGCTGGTGGTTTGGCTTCGATTTGGCCATAGGCGAATTCAGCATCAAAAAACGAGCCAAAGGGAGAAAATTTACCTCGTTTGGAGGTCAAAAAACCCTCCGGTGTGGCGGCGGCTGGCGACGGCTGGCTCCTCCTTTAAACAAATATTCTAATATAAATTAAAAAATAAAAATAATAAATTTGGGTATTACAACTCTCCCCCCTTTAAAGAAATTTGGTCCCCAAAATTTTCCTCTTACTCTTGGTCGAACAAATGGCGATACTGGGCTCTAAAATCTGATTCTAGCTCCTAGGTAGCCTCCCTTGACGTGTGGTTCTGCCACACAACCTTTATAAATGATATTTCCCAATTGCAGAGTATCCTGCTCTTTCGGTCCGTGATACCGACTGGTACTTCTTCATAAGATAAGTCCTCTTGGAGTGGAAGCGGTTTATGAGCCAAGACATGATAGGGGTCCGAGTTGTACTTACGTAGCATGGATACGTGGAACACATTGTGGACCTTGGAGAGCTCTGGAGGCAGTGCTAGTCTGTAGGCAGAAGTATCAATCCTGTCTAAGATTTCAAAAGGTCCAATAAATCGGGGGTTCAATTTTCTCCTCCTGCCGAACCTACTAATTCCCTTGAAAGGAATGACCTTAAGGAACACCCGGTCGCCTTTCTCAAATACTAGATCTCTCCTTCGAGTGTCCGCATAACTCTTTTGCCTGCTTTGAACCGTCTGAATGTTCTTTCTAATTTTAACTATTTTAGACGTGGTCTCCTCTACTAACTTCGGGCCGAACAATCTTCTATCGCCCACTTCTTCCCAACAAATCGGTGATCTGCACGGGCACCCATATAACACCTCATATGGAGTCATGTCGATGCTTGCTTAGTAGCTGTTGTTGTAGGCAAACTCTATTAGGGGTAGATGGTCGTCCCAATGACCTCCGAAGTCAAGGACACATGCTCTGAGCATATCCTCAAGTGTATGAATTGTCCTTTTTTATTGTCCATCAGTCTGAGGATGGAAGGTAGTACTGAGAGACAGCTTTATTTCCATGACTTGCTGAAAGCTACCCCAAAATTGAGAAGTGAACCTGGGGTCCTTGTCGGATACCACTGTTACTAGAACTCCGTGCAATCTGACTATTTTCCGGATATACATTCTTGCCAACTTGTCCAAGGGGCCGTTCATTCTGATGGCCAAGAAGTGGGAAGATTTGGTAAGCCGGTCAATGATTACCCAGATGGCGTCATGTCCTGAAGGTGCCTTGGGTAATCCCGTTACGAAGTCCATGGTGATGTGCTCCCACTTTCACTCTAAAATCGGTAACGGTTGAAGTAGCCCACCTGGGCGCTGATGCTCTACCTTGACCTGCTGACATACCAAGCACTTGGATACAAAGTCGGCTATGTCTCTCTTCATCCCATTCCACCAAAACTGGGGTCGCATGCCTTGGTACATTTTGGTGCTTCCTGTATGCATGGCAAACTTCGAGCTATGAGACTCTGTCATGATGTCTCTCTTTAACTCACTGTCATCTGAAACACACACCCTGTCTTGGAAACGGAGTAATCCATCGGCAAAGATTCAGAATTCTGAGCTCACTCCCTGTTCTGCATCCTTCTTGCGGGCTACCAGGGCAGAGTCGACTGACTGGGCTTCCCTTATTCTCTGGATTAACTCGGGCTGGACTGTCAGGCAGCCCAAACATGTGACTCTTCTCAAGTCCTGAAGTCGAACCTGTTGTGTGGCCCTAATTTTCCTGCATTATGAAACCATCAAATAAGCTA